TGATGCCTCTGGGGAAACAGCTTTCCCTTTCGCAGAGGTGCTGAGCGCCCGCGTTTCCTCCTGACCGTGAAGGAAGAGCTAACCCCTCTTCCTGCTGCTTTTATGGCCACATAAAAAAACAGTGGGGAAGGGTGGGAAACCTTAAATTGCTTCCATCTGGAGAATCAACTTTAGGTTAACCACGTGTATTAGTATGTCTGCATAAGTGGTAAGTGTATCTGAATTTTGCCCTGTGTCCTGTTCTTAAAATTTGGATTTCTTCTCTCTTCTGGCTGTTCTTTTAAAGCAATTAAAAATAAACTTGTGGACTGGTAACACTGCTTAAAAGTCCACATACCATTAGGCCCCAATTCTGCCCAAAATGTATCTGCTGGTGCAATAATGGGAAGCAGTTGAACTACTGAAACTTCTTCCAAATGACAGTACTAACAAGGAACGTGTTATTTTTACTACAGTTCAAAAGTAATAACAGTCTCAGTGTATGTGTTGGTACACTGGCAAAAGACTACTCTGCCTAGTGTAAGCTATTAAGAAAATCATAGATGTGGTAACAGAAAGAGTGGTTTGGGAGCTTTGGGAGGGTTTTTTTGTTTGCATAAGCTGTTGTGGTTACTGGGGAGTGGAGGAGTTTCCTAACTGAAAGACATGAGCAAAACCTTTGTGACTGAGACAGTAATAGTGTCTCTGAAGTCTGCATCTCAAGTGAGGGATGCTGTACTTCCCAAAGAGCACTGGGAAGCTTGCGGCAAAGCAGAGAGCACCCATCTGGTTTAGGTGTCCTTACCGTAATCTTTTGGTTTCTCGGCCTATAGGTGGATTCGAACCAGATTTGAAAGCTGCCTACAAGTCTTTTATGAAGTCCTGTGAGAAAGGTGGGAAGAAGTCAGTAAATGCATGTCACAGTGTTGGGCTCTTGGCCCACGATGGGAGAGTAAACGGTGATAAACCTGACCCCGTTGTTGCTAGAGACTATTACACAAAAGCCTGTGATGGCAACTTTGCTCCTAGCTGCTTCAACCTCAGTGTAATATACCTCCAAGGAGCACCTGGGGTCCCCAGGGACATGGACCATGCTTTGAAGTACTCACTGAAAGGGTGTGAGCTGGGTCATGCGTGGGCTTGTGCCAATGCCAGTCGAATGTACAAACTGGGAGATGGCACTGAGAAGAATGATGCTAAGGCAGAGGATTTGAAAAACAGGGCAAAACAGTTGCATAAAGAGCAGAAAGAAGCCTCAAGTTCTATAACATTTGGGGAGTAAAATGGTCAGCTGCAGTTACTAAGACTGCAGTTTTAAATTGTGAACACAGAGTCTTCACTTAAATAAATATCCTGTATTTGGATATGCAAATAAAGTTGTATTTTTTTGGATGCAACATATGACTGTTGTGCCTTCCTGAGTTTCTGAATACGCAAGTTCTTAATTGTATTGCTTAGATCCTTCCTCTTCTTTAAGGAAGCCAAAAACTTCTGGCCTTTTGGAAGGTTGTCCCCATGATTTCAAATACAAAAGGCACTCTCTCATGTCTAGCACTTTGGTATCGAGGGTTGTGTTTGGACCATTTTTAACACACACACACACACACACACACACACACACACACACACAAATGACAGTTGCAAAGTAATCCCAGCTTGGAGTGTTATCCCTTACAAACAGTTGTGGAACTGTGAGCTATCAGAATAGCTCTGGAGAACTGCTCTAGATCTGCTTTGTCCCAGCATGCTTTGAGAACCTTGAGTGGGTTTATTTACTGCAAGTGAAATTTGCTATCCTCAGGCTGTATTTAGACTTGCTGATTTACTTACTTTGTTGTCCTACCAGCAAAATTATACTTGTAACTAGGAGAGAAAGAGAAGACTTATTAGAGGCAGCAATAATAATTTGGTGTCTTGCTGATGATTAGATTATATTTAATGTCATCATTTCATCTGAGAAGTTTTGATTTCTCAATTTGGTCTGTAAGGTTCACAGGCTGTTAGTGTAATTATTCCATTAGTGCAAATGTGTATTTGATTGTAAATCCATGTTACAGAATTACTGGATATAATTTGATTTCTAACTAATTAAGCATTCCACTGAAGCCATGCCAAATCTTTATGTCCAAGTGAAAAATGCCATTGCACACCAACTCTGGTGTAGGTGAACTCCCAAACATCCTGATGTGGGAAGTGGCACTCCTGTGCAAATAGTGGATTTATTTCTCCTCCAAGGAGCACACAATAGTGAACATGGCAGCATGTTTTCTGCTACCTACTGCTTGAAAAATGCAGAACATGGCAGATTTACACAAAGAGCTGCTGGCTTTTTCTTCCTCCTCTTCAGCTGTGGCATAAAACTGCTCAGAACTTACTAATATGAGCAGGAGTAATTCTGTTGAGTGCAATGAGATGGTTCCTGTGTGAGAGCTGATGTCTTGTTATTTGCAAGCACTCACAGATCCCTAAACACTCTAGATGTGTTCTGTTGACATTCCCAAATGAAATAGTTGTTGCTTAAATTCTTAGTTCTTTCAAAGCTGTTCTTAAGCATCTTTGTCACTGAAGCTTCACTATACTGAGAAAGCTGTAGTGTCTTAATTGGTTCATTCAGCTCTACTGTCACTCTTCAAGGCAGCATCAACAGAGCTCACTACCAGTGTCTTGGAGGGAAATGCTTGTTTCAAAAGAACTGAGATTTACATTTACAGTGGATTTTGGATAAGGGTAATAAACCATCAAAAGATGCAAACTGAGAGGAAGACTGGAGGATTAATCCAGTGTACAAGCAAACCTTGATACTGTATGATTTGTTCAGTTTGTATGTGACAGCTTCAAGAGGGACAAGTGAAAGAAGGTTCTTGCATGTATTATACTTCAAATGTATTGAACAGTATCAGCAGCTAGTTTCAAGATCATAGAACGGTTTGGGTTGGAAGGAACCTTGAAGATCATCCAGTCCCAACCCAACCTGAGCTGCTTTCACATGATGTTTAAGGCTCACCACTTCACTTTAAAACCAAGCTTACTTTACTCTCTCTGGACACTTGTACTTCACTTGTACTGTCAGCTTTTTTAACTGTGAGAAGTCCACCCAGGCAGCAGGTTGTTCTGGACAGTGCCTCTTGCTGCCTGCAACGATGCCAGGTCCAGGGGGAACATGCTGCTTTAGGCTCTGAAAGTGTGAAACTTAGATCTAGAAACACTGAAGTCATGTTCAGCTGATGCCAAACCCAAAACAGTGATGAGCCTGTATGGCAATGTGTACGTAGAAACATCTTTGCTTATAGATCTTGCAAATGAAAGAGGTAGGAGATACAAAGGCAGGAGAGAAAGGAACTTTACTGGCTCTGCTAGGCAGATAAGCTACAGGGGCAGTTTAAGAGAGCTGCTCTACTTTGTGGAGAAAGTAAGAGAGCTAGGAATTGGCCTAGATCTACTGAGTTACAGATGAGTACCTAAGGCCAGATTCCCTTTCAGACAAGGCAGGCACACAGGTTTTAAATACCTTTACCCTTAATGTTGTTTTTAGCATCTTGCCAAGTGTGTATGGCTGCCCTGTGTGCCTGACTGTTTTAGGAACACACGGTGATCACCCCTTACTCAGTTACACACAAATTGATTTACCTGGCTGCCAGCTTCTGAAACATTATGTTCTATTGCTTATAATATAGATTTAGAGAATGAGGTGCTAACTGATGAAATTTGGGCCTCAAATTCATAGCTTATGTATGTACAAGCTAACCATATATTTTGAAACCGTTGTCTAAATAAGTAAGGCAATATATGTATATGTATTTATGCACTGCAATATATGTGTATGTATTTATGCACTGACAAGATCCTTTATCATTCTGGTGTATTAAAATGCATGCAAAGTACCACTGAATTAGAAGATGAATGCTCTGGCTGTGGTCTGAGTAAAGGTACAAACTTACTACTGAAGCAAATTAAGTGGGAGAAAAAACCCCACACTCATTTGGCTCTTGCCACCATTGCACTGTCAGAATCTCACTGCATGGTGTCTCAGGCAGAGCGTGTATGAATTAAAGCAGTTCTTCCAACGTAGCCACACTTTTTAACAGCCTCCTTGGAAAGGGCACGCTTGCTGCTGGAATTAAAACCCCAGTGGCACAGTGTAACGAGAGGTGGCAGTATAGGAAAAACATTCTTGCATGCAGTGGGTGTCAGGCCATTGGCGCAGCCTGGAAAAAAAACAGTAGTGGTGACAAAAGCGAGATTATTTCTGTTACCACAGTGAGTATTTTGTGGCAGTTTGAGAAGATAGAGCTCTTTTAGAGAAATTCACTTTGCCTGATTCTTTGCTAGATCCTATTCTGGGCATTTGTTTCACTGGGGAAGGTAAGGAAATGCTGCCTCTATAGAGTGTGACACTCTAATAGTAAAGCAGTTTGGAAGCTGTTCAGAAGCCAGCAGTTACAGGTGGCTCAAAGTGTCAAGAATTGGGTGACATTTGAAGCCCTGATCTTCCTTCCAATCTTGTAATGCTCCGTGCCTCTGAGTGACCTGTTCAGTTCCTCAGTCCAAACCTGCCTCCCCAGAGCAGGCTTCCTCCCACTGGGAATAACACTTGGCAGTGATACCCTGTGGGAACCTCCAGTCTACACAATGGGCACCTGGCAACATCCTCCATACAAGTGACACACATTGCAGGTAAGTAAAGCCACATATAGAGTGCATGTGAGGAGGCTTCTTCATACCACTTCAGAAATCAGAGACTTGGAGAGTTTTACTACTGTAAATTGAACTATTTCCATGAAAGCTGCCATGTGTTAGTACAGAAAAGTTTATGAAGCATCACCCAGTTTTGTGCCACCTGTTGAAAAGGCAAGCCCAAATTAAGGAAGGCTCTTTAGTTACACTAAAAGACCATCAAAACCAGTTTAAAGTGTTTTCAGGTTGACTGACAGTTTTCTGCCCGTTGCAGACACACCTATATCTCTTTTACACTGGTATCAGTGATGCTGTAACCAGTGCATTAGATGGGTGAGGCCCTCTCCCCTTTTGACTCTTTTCCCTCCGAAGTGACAAAGCATCAAAAAAAAAGATCAGCCAGTCTCATCTGAGGGTATCATATATGATATGTGGTTAATGCAGTCTGTAGCTGAGACTATGGACTCTACTAATAGCAGTCGATTCTCAGCCTAGCGATTAGATGTAATCAAAATCTGTTAAGAGGTGAACATTTTACTGCAGATCTGGCTTAAAACCACCTTATTCTGATATCATGAAGGTATTACCAAAAGGCTGGTATCTTCCTGCTCTTTCTTTTAAAAGGCTAAATTTCTTCTTGGGAAGAAAATTGTTCCTCCAAAGCCTCTGAGGTCAGAAGGAAGGAGTGATGGATACATGATCATAATAGCCTACTTGAAAAAATAGAAGACCTGTTGATCTCCAGGATCAGTGAATTGTCTAAGAAATAAAGGAGTTTATCTCAGCTTCACAGCCCCTAAACCACTGTGTGCTTTCTCTTTCATTTGTATTGGTCTAAGCATACAGCTAACCTCCTTTAAGAAAGCAGCAGTATGCTTCAGAAGGCACGGTGACCAACTCTAATTAATTAAATAGACTTAGGAATACATGGCTTTAAATGATGAAAGCATTCACTGCAGGATGTTTCCTGCAGCTGTGGAAAGATGGCCAGTGGAGTGCTGGTTTTGTACTGAGATGTAAAGAACACTGGCACCACATCATGTTGTGTTGTTAATTATCATTTGGATTAATTCTGGACAAAAGATGCTGTTGGGTAGCGAAGCTGCATGACGTTGTGGAAACAGAAAACCAGACTTGTTCTGGTGGTTCTCTTTCTGTGTTATATGGTAATAAAAACAGTTTGCAGCTTGCTTACCTTTTATCCATCTGTCAGTAACAATTCCTCTCTGTAATGTATGTGTGAAGGTAGTTCTGTAGCTGTACATGCACCCACATGGACCATATGGGAGACTTTGTGTGTGTGATCACCAACACCAAGAAAACAAAGTAGTGTTCCTTGTTACAGTACAAACGTTTTGTTCAGTGGAGAAAGAGACTCACTCTGTTGGCAGTTCTTCTACTTCATCATGTGAGAGGAGAACTCTCCCAGGTAGCTCTTCTCCTCCTTTGGTAGATGGAGAAGGAAGAATTCCTCCTTCCGTTGTGCTTCCCAGCATCTCATCCACTAGACCTCAGAATGATACAGTTCTGCTTAGGGTTGGACAAATAGCAAGAAGGCAGAGGGAGGAAAAGGATTCATGGCACAAGAAGAAACAGATTAGAGAATAAGCAGAATATCCAGTTGTATTATTGCCATAATCTGTGCTGGGGTAACATCCAGCAGTTCCATTCAGGTCCTGGTATTAGGCCATTTGTGTGCACCCCTTGATTGACACCCCTAATCCAGAAACCCACAACCTAAGTTTCAGGACTGTACAAACTCCCTAGTACATATTTCAGTATCAAACACAGTACCCTGCTCTGGTTTTCCAGACACTCTATCAGCAACATGGCCCAGAATCCTCACAAAACAGATTTGTCCGGAACTCCTCAGACTTTAATGGTCAATTCTGTGCCAAATTTTCAATGTCTGATTTCATTTGTTATATCTGTAGCCTCCCAATGCTTTCATTTTTCAGTATGCACACTTGTAGCAAACACAATAACCACAAATTACACTAATTTCAGACAAAATCACATATTTATAATTCGGTGTTACTGCCTTCTACTCTAATCTAGTCACAATGGTTACTAGTTACCAATGGTATATTTGTTCCAAATATGATGTTTTCAGCTTCTTCCATACACACTATCTTCTACAGTCCTCTTTGTCATATGGTTATATGTTTTTGTGAGACAGTCTTTTCTCAGAATCCTTTTTCCCCCTAGACCAACTAGTAAGAAATTTGTGTGATATGGAATTACAAAATCAAGGCCACTTTGGAGTACTGATTTCAGATGGGGATTTGTGAGCAGCCTCATGGTAATGCATACATACGCTCCAGTTCATGAGTATGGTGGGAGTTCTCCGTAAGATTTCATTCCCTCTAAGCAACTCCGAAACATGGTGCTTTAAACATACCCTGGAGAGTTCTGCTTAGCAACTGAGAGACTTCTAGTAAAACAACAGAAAGATGAAACCCCTGCATGTTTATACAGCACTTGTCACCTGCAGCATTTTAGTGCACCTCACCCAGGGAATCACAAGAAACAGAGTTGGTTTTCAGCTCACAGAGCCATTACACAGGGAGTTGGGGTAAGGAAACCATCAAAGAAAAATGTTAACTGACCATGATTTCATAATTTCATAACTTGAAGATGAGGCTAATCTGAATTTATGTCACAAGTTCCTTATCCTGACAGTCCTTGGCTGACACTAATGGCCTGGTCTGAGCAGTTAACTGCTCACAAAAAGCACTGAAAAGAAGTGAGCTGGTTTCCTTCCAGGTCTGGGGCAGCTGGAAGCACCCAGTGTTCCTGTAGAGCTTCCTGGCCAGGAAACTCTCATTGCTTTGCAACAGCCTTTTCTGCAAACTCCTGGGAAGGAAACCTGGATTATCTCTAGCTCAGGGAAGGAGGACAAGTCATTGAATGACTGTTGATGTCAGCAGGAGCCCAAACTGATTATTCTCCAAATGATATTTAGCATGGCAAGGACTTGTCAATTCTTTACAAGCCAAAAAACACTAAAATGGGAAACTGGCTTTTGAATGTTATTCTGATAATATTCATGGAGTATTGTTCCGGAAAGATGCAATAGCCACCTCAGTGCAAGTGTTACTAGTAACCCTTGAAGAGAAAATAAGCTGTGACACTGTCAACACTGCAAGCAGTCTTGCTGTGTTACCTTCAGGGAAGTTCTCTTGTCTGCCTTCTCAAGTGGAAGGTTTTCTCTATGGCATTGTGTTGCCTTTTTGTGTGCTTGGTACAAAGAAAGTAGATATTCTCTTACTTGTCAGGTAGGCTGAGAGAGTGACACTGGCTGTCACAGGGACCCAGACCTGCCTCAGAGTGGTGGCTCACACACCATGGTGTTTGTGATGAATAGACGCTGGCCCTCAGAGACATGATACATAATTTGAGGTTAAAAGATTCAGGTCTTTTTGAATCTCTAAACATCTTCTAAGTTTTTTTCCTCTGGGTTTTGTGAGTTTTACATGTTCCTCGGAACCCAGGGACTGACACAGTTACAAAAGCACCAGCATGTGTGAACAAATATTCAATACAAGCGATGGTTTCTATAGGAGCAGCACAAAGGTTTTGGTACAGCAAAGAGTAAAAACTTCCCATAGACAGGTAACAAAAACATCTCTGCGCTGTACTTGCCTTTGTAATTCCTGTTTTCTGTGTATTACAGGATGAAATGACAACGTGTGCTATGTGCTGGATGTTCTGTTTGCTGCTCCCACAACAGACGATGGACATTTCCAGATCACGCTATCGCACTGCAGTAACGATGCTGATCCAGTGATGCTTTAAACTGCAACACAAATTAAAAGCTAGTTAATATAGTCCTATAAATGATAGCAGATAGGTGATCCCCAGTGATCAGTTTTAATTCCTATGAACTTTCCTAATCTAATGCCATCCTCCTATGTATGTTAAACTAACGTCAGAATGTATTCTCTTATGCAGTACCTGTATGTGTCCCTAGTAATCTTTAGGTAGGAACGTAAAGCATTCCATCCTTTCAAATGCAGAATGATTTTGCCTTAGACATTGTGCAGGTACAAGCTGCAACCTAAGGCTATATTTATACCATAGCAGAACCCTGGAAACCGTTTATATATACTATTTATTTTCTTCATTACAATCTTTGGGGAACAATTTCAAGAAAGGGTTTTGATCTATGATTTGAATAAATAACCTCCACCTGATCTCAATAGGTATTTTCCCTCAGCGTTTTGCAGTAATGAGGCAGAATACTTGCTGTCATCCCACAAGCAGATATATGGATGAGAACTTTGAGCCAAATTGTAGATGTTTTATATCTTACAAGCACCAGTTGAAATGTTTCCCTCTGAGAACCCAAGGGGGGTCCTTTGCCAGGGTGCAATGCCAGCATCCCACACACAACCTGGGGTAATGGCATACAGAGGCAAGCGAAGACAAGTGGTGCTCAGGAGCCTACTGCTGCCACTGCTGAAGAGCAGCAAGCTTCAGGCTGCTTCACTTAGTGCTCTTCAAAGGCATTAATATTGCCTGGGGATATGCATACGGTGACAGAAAGAAAGTCAGTAACTTCTTTTGATAAGTTTAAGTATGAAAGAACAAGGCTTTTTGATTCGGTTCCTGTACACCAGGCTGAATCAGAGATAGTGTGAGATTGGGAAACAGATATAACCTTGAGAACAGACTGCATTGAACCTTCATACTGGAAATGATCCTTTCAGAAAGGTCCTTGTGCAATTTGGGACATTTCTCTGCTTTTGTCATGACACTGCTAATTGATGAGTGTGTGGAGAAGAACTGATTGAGTACTGTCTGTGTTTGGCAGCTTGAACTAATAAGTGACAAACATAAATACAGTTTCTTGTTAGAAATTGCTATGTGCAATACGACTCAGCCTATGAATACAGTTGAAACCAGAGGGACCCTGTACACTTTCTGCAGCACATCGAGCTGGCTTCCCTCAGCTGGGACCTGTGTGATTGTTTCCAATGACTTGCTGGAGTGTAACTTAGTTTGGCCCAGATACTCCAAGATCATTCATGGCAGAGCTGTTGAAGAAATACTAGAGTGTCTGAAAGGAACGGTGGGCTTACAACAAAAATGAGCCAGAATAGATTGTATAGCAGAGGAACTATTTCTAGCTAAAACTTACCTGTTCTTATACAAAATAAAAACCAACTGATTAATTAATTCAAAATGAATTCTACATTTTCTTATTGCTCAATAGGTAAAAGAAAAGAACATGTAATTAAACTTGTCCCTTGAAGCATCTCCTTATCCCAGGAAAGCATTGCATCAAACTGCTTTCTTCCCTGATGTCTCCAGAGTGCAGCAAGAGCTGCAGTAACACTATGTGCAATAGAAGCTGGCTGGGACTCCTTATAGGTGCTTAGACTACCTTGTTTAGCCCTGGAGTTAAACATATGATGATTTCTAGAGCTTGGTCTATGTGTGTTCCTCAAGGAAATCATCACAATCCAAAGACTATTTTGTTCATTTAACAAAGGAACCAGATCCAGATCATAGCATATTCAGATCAGGTTTTTCTTGGAATATAATCACAAATCAGATCAAATTAGCTCTTAGATATCTGCAAAGTGTCTGGACAACCTGCAACAGAAATCATTCACAAGTTCAAGACCTCCTCTATTAATTCCTTTACGATCCATACAGGGTGAAACTCCCAGTAGGAATATGCTCCTATGGCACCAACGCATGGGTGTTAATGTGCATGTACTAAATAAGGGCCTGCACAGAGTTTAAACCCCTGGGGAGCAGAGGCTGGGACAGAAACACAGCCTTTCACCAGAGGCCTCTTCACTTTCTATCTGCAGCCAGGGCTGAGCCAGTGGCTAGGTGCACAGACAGACACAAAGGTCTGGGTTTTGGAAACTGAGCAAGTTTTTTAGGTCAGACCCAGCTGTGCATTTATTTGATTGGCTTGCAAGAGCTGTTTGAAGCTTTCCCAGAACCCATTAAAGGCTGAAGAGTGTCCCAGCACTTTAGATTGCAAGCTGTCTAAGCACTAAGAATGGAGAAAAGATTAGAGCTAGCTGTCTGTATTTAACACCCCCCTCATAACCCCCCAACAAAACCCAAATGTTCTCATGATCTGGCGAGCCTTTTGTGTGCTGGCCTTTCCACAGCTGTGTTTTTCTTATTTTCCTGTGGGAGGACTGTTCCCTTGGCTACCAGTGCTGGCCTCTAATAGTTGGCATTTGGGCACTTGGCACTAACGGGATGAAAACATCGCTGTGTTTTTCTTCCATGCCTGCAGGAGCACAGGGAACACAACTGGATGGGTTTCCAATAGGCAACAGCTCCAGGTGACAGCACTGCATTTACCTTGATGCACCTTTCTAGGTGCTGCTCCGGTACAGCTCTGCTGGCCATTGCTTTGTCAGGTAAGTGCTAATGGGTGGTGAGGTTTGAGGCTTGTTTCCCTGCCCTCCTGCACAGGAGATAGCACACGCTGCCTCCAGCCAGATGAACTTCTCTTTAACCACATGCCTCACCAGCAGCACTACATCTCCAGGTGTAACATTCACAGCCACTCTCACATTAACAGGAGGGGCAAGTGACAGCACACACAGCCATTGCCTCAGAGCTCTAATCAGTGTTTCTTTATCTTCCTGGCTTTCTGTATGAAGGACATTGGTGCTTTCACATTAGAGCAATGCGAATAGCCTTGTCTCCTCTCCAGACCTCAAGGTCTGACCTTCATTTGCTATCAAGCACTCCACGAAACAGTTTCATTAAAGCCTCCACACAGCGACCTTTGCACAATAACCTGCTCTCTGTAGTCCCACCATATGCTGAGGCTGCTCTCATTTAAATTATCGTTATGCTGAGGGAACCAAATACATCTTTTACTTTACTTCAGTGCCTGGAGCAAACTAATGTCCTTCTTCCATAGCCATGAAACACAACAAAGGGACCGTGATTCAGAGGGCAATCTCTATGGAAACTGTCTAATGACAGTGCACAAGAAGAAGCAAGCACACAGGTCCATCAGATGAACAGAAACCATCAGATCACAGACAAAAGTTGAGAAAATGAGGCAATCAGTGTGGTGAGTGGACAAAGAGGTGTACACTGGGTAGCTGGAACCTGGGAAGGACTTGTGATTTGTAATCACCAACTCCTGTGGCACAGTAAAGCAAATACTGACCCCACTAATCCATACTGGGAGAAAAAAGGAAAAGATACAAGGTCAGAAAGGCTACACTGCTTTTATATTCCCCCTCTTCCCCTACCCCCCTTGTTTTCTGTATGGTTATAGCAGATGAAAATACGAGCAACTCTGATAATTCAGGGATGTGCCCGGTGCACATGCTGATCAATCCCATCTCTGTAGGCAGGGCTGCTGGCTTTGCCCACCAGAAAGCCTGGGGAGGAGGCACAAGGAGAGGCATTGGTGCAGGAGCTGCATTCAGGGTTTAGCTGTTTCCCAAGAATTTGCACTGCTCCTGCCTACGCAAGAACACAGAGAAGGTGATGAGCAGCCTGCATGTCCTGCTTTGCATTTCTTGTTGGGAAGATGTGAGGGCTGAAACTACTCTTTTCAGAGGCCAAAGAGGTTAAACTGTAGGGTCTTGCTGCATAAAGAAGTGTTGGAGTTCACCTTCGCTTTGGCAGCTGTGAGCCATGACCAAAGAACTGCCCTGAATCCAAGGGCATGGAAGTGCTGGGGGTCCAAGGAGTGGGTCCACTGAGTCAGGCACCCAGCCCAGACTATGACAGCTTGTATCTTCCTATTAAACAAATTGAACTCTCCCTTTTATTTCTCCAAAACTTCTCTCTGTCTCTTTTGCAAGTGTAGCTGTTTCCCAAAGGTGCAGTCCTCTGTGATCATCCATGACCTGAGGCTCAGCTCTTCCTCGCTTGTTCAAGAGGCACCAGTTTCAATCATGCCCCATCCTTGTTCAGGACACAGCACTGCACACTCACACTAGGCACTGCTCTCCAGCACATCAGCCACTCTTCACCAGTTTTCTGCCCTGACAACATCATTGTATTCAGATGCAAAAGTCCTACTCCTCCTTCTTGCTGATGGCACAAGGTAATTTTGTATGAATGTTCTCCTGGCAAAATCAGATTTTACTGCAGTAGGAGTGATATTAAAATGAACCACACTGGGACACTAACAGGCAAATTACTAATGTATGTGCTATATAGAAACCTGGGCAAACTGAGCTAGAAGGAGCCTTGCAGTCTGTTTCTCATTTCCTCAATGACCACAAATACAATGAATGAATGGAGAAAAAGGGCCATATGCAAACAAGCAAGAACAGCCCAGCAGCCCAGAGGAAGGAGGCCTGGCAATCTAAAGGAAGCCCAGATCGTTTTGAGTGTTTATTTAGTTCAAGTAGTAGAGGTGAAGAACGATTCCTCAGCATCAGAAAAGGTACCTAGCAAAGGGTCAATCTGAAAATGCAGTTAATTGCAGCAAAAGAAAGAGGCAGAATAGATGAGAGTAATCTCTTGTAGTAGTGATAAGGATTGGCCCAGATTTATTTTTCAACTGTGTCAAAGTTGAACCTGCTCTTCGTTTTTATTGTTAGTGCCATAATTGCAATAAAATGCTAGAAATTAACTCTTTTATTTATTTATTGGTATGAAAAAAAGCTTTACCTAGAATCCCAGACTGGTTTGGGTTGGAAGGGACCTTAAAGCTCATCCAGTTCCAACCCCTGCCACAGGCAGGGACACCTTCCACTAGAGCAGCTTGCTCCAAGCCCCTGTGTCCAACCTGGCCTTGAACACTGCCAGGGATGGGGCAGCCACAGCTTCTCTGGGCACCCTGTGCCTCAGCACCCTCACAGGGAAGAATTTCTTCCTTATATCTAATCTCAGTCTCCCCTTTGGCAGGTCAAAGCCATTCCCCCTTGTCCTGTCACTACATCCCCTTGTAAAAAGTCCCTCTTCGTATTTCCTGTAGACCCCCTTTAATATTGGAAGACTGTTATAAGGTCTCCCTTGAGCCTTACCTGCCATGTAATATACTGCTAATTTCACACCTGTACAAAGATTGCACCAGAAATCCCACCCAGATGATTAATATCTGTAATTAGAGGAAAGGCAAATAGTGGAAACCTGCTACTCCCAGTTTCTGTCCCCGGACAGGCGCTATGGAGTGCATTACATCCCGATCTTATGTAAATCACTTCTGTTTGAAAATGAAAGCTCTCCAATGGCTGTGGTCCAGTTCCGCAGAAAAGAGGGCCAGAGGGCAGTGTTCATTGTTGGCACACAGAGCCCTGCTCTGTCACCTCCCTGGGAAGCACAGCTGAGAGGCCAAAGCTGCTGATCTGACCAAGCAGCCTGAGATGGTTTTTCAGCCGTAACCCAATAAATGTGCCTCTAAATGTTTGTTTAATGAGATGGACTACAGAAGAATACATTGTCCTTTGCAAAGATGGCTTAATATATAATTTTTCAGCCCAAAACTCCCATTTCAAAGGAAATCAGAGGGAGCCCAGTGAGGACCATGTGAAAACAGAACTCACCCACCTGCCCAGCTCAGTAAATAGACTCTTGGTGCAACCTGATGACTCAGCCCATTTCCTTTCAAGTGTCTCATTTCGCAGAAGGCCTCAAACCCCTTTCACTGGCAATTCGCTCAGATTTCCATAGGATAAAACATCAGGTCCCATTTGCACATGCTGACATCTTTGCATTTAAACTGAGCTGCCCTTGCCAGGTCAGTGCTGCCGTATCATCCTCCGCAGAACGGCTTCAGTTGTATGTAAAACTGAATTAATATTCACTTCATCCGTCATGTCTCACAGTTTACAATACCAGTTGCTGGCTTGGTAGCTCCAGAAAACACTAGGAGGATTGCCAGAATCCTTGTACCTCCTAACCCCCTCCTATGGAACTCCCAGGTACAGTGGTGCCCCTAGACAGCATCTCTGACCATGGGCTGCTCCCCACAGACAGAGCAGATCAATGGCCTCAGTCAGAGCATCACGGGTAGCAGACCACAGTTTCCATTTAGCTCACCATCATCACTTATTGATGGCAAGTAACAAATGCAGCCAAACGGAACAAAAAGCTGGGAAACCAGTTTGTCATTGATTCAAAAGAGATATCAATATGTTCGTATATATCAAAGGAAGCAATCTCCATTAAAAAGCAAAGGGATAACTATGTTCTATATACTTGCTAGGACCCCGTGGCTTTTAACATGTTTTAATCATAGAATCACAGAATAATTAGGGTTGGAAAGGACCTTAAGATCATCAAGTTCCAACCGCCCTGCTATGGGCAGGGACACCTCACACTAAACCATGTCACCCAAGGCTCTGTCCAACCTGGCCTTGAGCAGCGCCAAGGATGGAGCATTCACAGCTTCCCTGGGCAACCCACTCCAGTGCCTCACCACCCTAACAGGAAAGAATTTCTTCCTTATATCCAATCTAAACTTCCCCTGTTTAAGTTTTAACCCATTACCCCTGTGTCCTATCACAGTCCCTAATGAAGAGTCCCTCCCCAGCATCCCTATAGTCCCCTTTCAGATACTAGAAGGCTGCTATGAGGTCTCCATGCATCCTCCAGGCTGAACAACCCCAACTTTCTCAGCCTATTTCTGCCTTAAGCCTCTCTCTCAAAAGCTGATGGACTCATGCAAGCGGTCAGCCCCATGTGACTTCTGTAAACCCACAGCCAATTACTAGACCCTGCTGGGGAGGCACCTTCCCTGAAAGTACCTGGAGGAGCTGCATGGAAGGGAGAGATTTAGAATGATTTTTGCCTTTGAATGGTCCAAAGTGACCAGGAGATGCAGTGAGGTTCAATTTGACCATAGCAACACATGCTCAGTTAAGAAAACAAAATTACCCTGTTGGGGTTTGTGGTTCCTCTAATTGCCAGGAGAAGGAGTAGGGTCAGTTCAGATCAAATGAACACTTTCAAGCGCAGTGTTTAGTGCAGGTATCCTTGTTAAAAAGAAAATCACAAGAAACAGCGTGAATCATTAACAGCCTCTTTGTCTTGTGATTGCTCGTGGTTTATTTTAATGACATGAACATTTATTGAGGCATCACTGCACGTAATTTCACTGTTTTCCTTTGGGAACCAAAAAAACCCTACAAAGCATTAAACTGCTGTGAGCAAAAACTCCATTAAAGAAGGCAGCAGACGTTGCAGGATCCTACATGTGGCACACACTGCCCTGGCTTTAGAAGGCCAGTGAGTATTCATTTGCATGGCTGTGTCTCCCCCAGGCTTCTGCTCATTACAGAGCCTTTTTCTGCAACAAAATCCACTAACAGAAGTGAACTACAACAGTTGCTGCATCAGGTACATGAGGAAATGCTACATTTTCTTACTGACAACAAGGAACTCTCAAAAGTGGCTCCAGTCACACACTTAATTTTGCACCTTAAAAGGCTGTAGTGGAAGGACTACAGGGCTAACAGCATGTGTGGTTCAGAGAGGAGCATTAACTAAGAGAAACCACTTACCTAACACAGGCAGCAAAATCACCAGCAGAGACTCACTGCCAAGTTCACATGAGCTGGAAGCCACAGTTCTACAAAGCACAACCACTGTTTCTCAAGGTACAAGATCCATGGCAGCCCTGAACAGATAAGAAGTAGAAATGTGTTAACTAAGGAATGCAAGGTGTATATTAAGGGAAGACTTGAAGAAGGCAGTTCTGCCTGCAATGTCAAAGTATTATTTGTACATTTGCTAATATCTCCCCAGAGAAAAGACTCTGGGCATGAAAATCTTGGGGTCTCATGTGGCTATTCCAGTGAACCTGGAGTACAAATATGGATTGATGGTCATAGCAGTGGGCACGGTCCTCAGCATCACTTTCAGCTTTGGGAACAGTTACTAGAATCTGCCTTCAAGTTACCTTATAGCTTGTGGTACTTTGGAAGAAATTCCTGAAACACTTGTTAAGAGCAGGGATGACTAACTGCAGATGATGTGCTTTGTTTATTTTGATCTCTCTTTAGCTTTGGTTCCTATATGCCAATGAAATTTTCAACTGTATTTTGACAAGACACAGCAGTCATCCTTACACTGGTGTGCTGACAAAGCACTTGGAGAGCTGCAAGGGGTACACTGGCAAGGCCAAGAGTCAGGAAGTTTCTCCTGCATGGCACGTGCCTGGCATTCGTCAAGAGCAGGGGCACAGGCTACCCACAGTGCCTGTTGAAAACTGGCCAGGACCACATGTGGTGTCAACACAGGGGCTCCTATGGCAAGCAGCCTGCCCAGGAAGGAGGATTTGTACTTCTGAGTGCTTCTCTCTCTCCACTGTCCTCCTGAAGCACTTTCTGGGTTAGCTTTTCTGCCTTGTAGCTCTTACCTCCTTTCACACACTAGTAGAGGCTGTCTTGGCAGAGATGTCACCATCGTGTTTGGCCCTAAGAGCTGCAGTGCTTGATTGATTGGTTGACTATTCACAAGCTAAACCACAAGATGCTACAGCACCACTCTCATACAGGCAGGAGGCAAACTGGCACGGTTAACCTCATACCTTAGCTTGCAGAGCAGACGTCACTAAGTATATAACCTCATTTTTCATTATATACTCTGTATACAAAAACATTACACCTAATTGAACATGCTCTATCTAAAATCAATTGTCACTCCCTCCCTGCAAACTCACTGGAAGTCAAGATAAGCCCATCCGTCTTAATCCCCGAGACTAATGTTGCTTCCTCTCTTTCATTACCCTGAGTTTATCCTGCTCTCCCTTGAATGGGAAATGCATCAACAGTGAAGTCTGAGTAGCGGAAATCAAAAACATCTATACCTGTATGCAGGCAGTGGGAGGCTTTTCAATTAAAAAAGGATTTTAAGAACGTCTCCCTTTTTAGAGGACAAATGCTTCTTTCAGAGAATAGGAGCTATTAAATTCATTCATGTATTGTGTTTCTTCAAGGATAGTAATGCTGTCAGAGAATGAAGTAACTTAATTGTTGAAGGGATTAATTTCTCCTCTTTGGAATTAAATATATTCAATGTCACTAAAGAAGTACTGGAAAGCTTTTCAAAGGTTGGGTGAGAGAACAGCCAGTGCTTATCATCTGGCTCTTCTTTACTTGCTCAGTTTAGGTTTAAAACACAAGTCCAAGGACCATGGTGTGGGGACCTATACCTGACATAAAAGCAGCCCATGAAGTACTGAAGTAGGGCTGTCCATGGAGGAGAAGGATGATTACATCTGGAGAATGCAGAATGGCAAGGAAGCAATGCCAAACTCAGATAAGTGATTCCTATTCATTCTGTTACCAAGTCTTTACTATCTTTAATGCCTGTTGAAATAAAACATTTGGAAGAAAAATCCACCCTGATGGTTTAACTTTCTCACTTTTTTGGTTAAAATCTCAGGGTGTTTCTGCTCCTCATTTGTCAAGTTCTCAGGAAGGCCAGAGGAAGGCAAGAATTAATATTCCTGTTACACCTAAAGGTAAATTGTAAGCAGAATTATAAACAACATGTACAAGCTATAAAAAGCTCAGAAAAGTACATCTGTGCATTTCTGTTTCATGTTGTCTTTCACCTTTCTGCTTCTATTTCCCTAAATAGAAAGATAATAGTATTAATCTATTATTGGGGCTCTTGTGAGGATATGTCCATTAATATTTTGGCAGCATAATGGAAGAAGTGCTAAGCATCATTATTGTTCTCTCTCTTTCTATTAGCACATCATGTACATCCTGAGCTGACCAGATAAACACAGAAAATAACTGTCCTCAGTATGAGGCAGAAAGGGAACATGGCAGAAATGGAACACAGTGGCTAGAGAGCCACTAAGAATGTTTGCTGTGGGTGATATCTGTGTCTAACAAAACAACCCACTCAGTTTCAAAGAGTTAAATATATTTCTTTACTCATTTGAGCAAGTTCTGTCTGCAGCAAAGAAGCTCTGAGAATATGTCCAGATTAAATATGCTGCATGTTTCCATGCGAGTTGTGCTTCAGGGAACACATCTAGAACTAAACACAGGACATACATGAGATCTGCAAAGGACCACTGAGGAGGTTTCCGGATTTTAGGATGCTAAACCTACCCACTGCTTCAGTTGGATTCCTGTTTTGAGGAGCAGCCACTGTGAGAAGGAACAGCCATGGAGGAGTGGAGGGACAGCTCTGCTCTAGATCTTTGTTCTGGGAAATACCTTGTGCTGAAAGAGGAAAAACAGAAGGAGAAATTAAACTCAGAACAAAGCCAAATTCCAGGAAGGAAGCGCAGAGGGTCATGTCATGGCTGTGGATGGAAGAGCAGAGGTAAGCAGCAGCACAACCTTTCAGTCAATGAGCCCTCCACCCCCCCAGGTGCCAGCACAGAGCCCACAGTATGTGGATCCCCTCCCACCATGGCTCCCAGCGAAAACAGGGAGGCCCAGGAGCCCTCTGCTCTGGGAAAGCCACTCTCTGCTCTGTATCCTGCCTTTTTTCCCATTGCCAACAAAACAACCCTTCATGGCCCCAGGCTCTACTCACAGTGTGATGATTTACCTCTTCATCATGGCTCTCTAAAATGCAGCATCCTGACCTGGCATGTTTTACACTGGAGCACATAAAGCCAATGCAGTGTGAAGTATCTCTCTCAGCTTAAAGCCAGGCTTTGTCTTTGGAGGAGTTTTGTTCTGAGCTGCAAAACTCCGAGCCTGATTTGCAAGCACAAGCTGCTGCTCTGCTCCCTGCAACAGCTGAGGGAGAGCCATGCACACTGCTCAAGCTATACTGGAGCACATTGCAGCCATGGTAGGCGCTGCACAGCACTGAACTTTGCAGCTGGCTCCATCTGTGCAACTGCTATAGTAACCAATCCCCATTGCCACAGGGTTTTATGCAGGAATTTTGATTATCCCCAATATTATTGGGACTTTTCATTTGTCCATCTCAAATTCTTTTCATCTGGTCTATCCCAAAGCATAGCTGATGGCTGTTTTTACATCTATCCAGAATACCTTGGCTTTTGCTTTTGGAACAGCTCACCTTCACTTACAGATTTATCACGATGCAGCACAGTGTTGTTTTCCGTCTGAAACTGGCATGAACAGAGCACAAGTACTCCAGCTGTAATAGTCTAACAGAAATAGGCTTTTCATACTGCATCACAGTAACTGCTGCACTTCTCTTACCAAAATATATTACAGGGCCATAATCATAGCCACTACCTGCTCAGCCACGCATCAGTGCCCACCTGGGTATGTCAGCAAAGGTGCAAGGGGAGAAAGAGAACTTTGTGCAGAGGTTCTTGCAGTTGTAATCCCTAGTTTGGGAAACTGAAAACATGTATGGGACTAACATAAGGCCATGAAACCTGATTTGCTTTTTTTTTCCAGAAATAACAACTTCATAATAGCTTTCTGCTGGACATGGCTGTCAGTTGAAGGGAGGTGACTTCTATTCCTGCTTATGCAGCTGGGGAGTTGAAGCACCCTTCCATGGAAACCCCATAGCCATTTAAGAGGGGGTTTACTCAAAGGACTAATCTCCCCATAACTGTAGGCTGGAGTGGCTGAGCCCTCTGCACGAGCAGCTCTTCCCTGCATCCCTCTGCATCACAAGAGCCTCCTGTCCCACTCTTCCAACCTCACACTGCTTCCTCACAGTGTGAATCTGCAGTGGAGGACTTGCAAAATGGTAATTCTTGTCACTGATGGATGTTGAGATGTACCAGTTCCGTGGCGGTTTGTTGATCAATGAGCATCTCCCAAGCAAGCCGATTAAAAGTGTGCAACCAGAGAAGGAATAAAGGTTATGGAAGAAAAACAACTTCCCACAGCACCTGGAATTTAGGGATTTGGCCTCCCAGTTGGCCAGACTGAGGTCCTGTTTTACCAAGTTACAGTATTTTACTTATCACTGTCGAAAAGCCCAAGACTCCTCCTCACTCACCTTGAACCTATGGTTCTGGGTACTGCAGAGACTCAGTGAAGAGCTCATCCTGCATAAAACATTTTCCCTTTGAGCATGCCAAGATAGCACATCTCAATGCCAAGGAAGGATGTGCCGTAAGAGAATGCTTGAAATGCAATGTGCCTGAACATGCATACACCAGCTCTCCAGATAGGCTTTAAATAATATTGCTTCTCATGCATGGCATTCTCCAGCAAAAAGTCCTTTTGCCCATTATCACAGATAAGCACGGTCATTACCTCAGGTAAGAGAAACATGAAAGGGATGCAAAAGACTCTGCTTCCTGGCATAAATCAGTTCCCGAAAGGTAATCATTTCCCTTCAGTCTCCAGGACTCTTCTCTGTGGTAGTCCTGTCAGACGGAGCTAATCCCACCTACCTTCAGAGCCAGACCTCTGGAGCACATGAAGAGCTGATCTCAGAGAGCACAGCAACTCCTGTGTCCCTGCTGAGACGTAATGGCAGGCTCCCTGCTTCAGCACTGTGGTGCAGTAATTCTGCACTTCTCAAAAATCATTAAAATCCCTGTAATGAGATGAAGTTTGGAAAAGTTTGGCTTTGTCTCTCCTCAGAACGCTCGGTGGAGCTGCCAGCTGGCAGCTGTGTGCAGCTGAACCGCTGTAAACCTGCCTGCTCCAAGCCAGCACTGCTGGGCAAGCAGTCCTAGCAAGGCAGGGTGCAAGGCACTGGAGTTCAAGGAAGAAAAACACCCTTCAGAGTGTATACAGGTGCACCAAGGGAAATACAAAATGTGCTCTTCACGTGTGCAGAGGCCTGACAGCAAATCTGGTTTTGTTTCCCAATCTGCTACATGTCTCTTACAAGATACGTACGTGATTTAAACCAAAGTTGTCAGGGGAGGGGAACCTCAATCCATCCCAGTCCTGGGTGAGAACAGTCAAGGTTCCTTCCCAGGCCTGCTCTTGCTTGAGTCCCTTGGGCAAGTCCACTTTAACCGCCCTCTGCCTCAAATTGACAGCCCCACTGCTTCCTCCTCCATGTAATTGTCCTGTTACACAACACCAGATTTAGGATTATGATGGACTTGCATCATCTGGGAGGAGGAGATGCTGGACTGCGGAGCAGAAGCGGACATGCCCTTCAGAGCAATAAGGTTTTACAGTGATAGCCTGTTCCATTAGCTCAGATTTCATCACAACACGATTACCCTTGTCCATGAAGCTGCCTGGTTTAGATTAGGCTTCGTGTTAAACCCATGACCTGTTTTCATTCTGGGGCTTTAGAAAATAATTTGCATGCTTCAGATTTTGAATTATTGAAGGGAATCTGGCTCCCAGGTTGTGCTTCGAGTCGGAATTCATTCTTCAGGAAGGACAGACTCAATGCATTTTAAATGTAAAAGTCAAATCTGGCTGGGAAGAAAGCCCATGTCAGCTACCAATCTTTTATTCTGTGATATAACTAGACTGTGTACTAGAAAACACAAGCCAGATGTATTTATTAATTACAGAGATAGTCTCTGTAGGTATAGCTGGCTACCTGACAGAGTTTAATTAACCCAGACACAGACATCTGTCATAAAGGGTATTGAACCGTTTCTTGCTCTCGTTTGCATTTCAGGAATGTCCCAAGGAAAGAGGAAGGATTCATGGCAAATGCTGTCCATTAATTTGCTTGATCTTTTTGTTTCAAGAGGAACAATCACCAGTGAGAAGCAGTGAAAACTGCAGATGGTACATAAGGATAAATGTAGTGTGCATCTATAGAATAAAACATGAATTTGCTATGGATGAAAGCTAGTAAAAGAAACTCAGTGAAGCAGGGCAGTTTTGCTCTGATCAACATGGTCAGAATCTGACTGTCAGCAGACAAAATGTTCTTTCTTTGAGCAGATCATTACATTGCTTTTTACATGCTCTTCGCATTTCAGAACCACTCCTTAAAGCAGCCTAAACTTGTGGGGTGTTCAAAACGTTTGTGGATGAGAGACGCTTCACAGATACAGGATAATAGCAATTCTTACAAAGCAAGTTTCTATTGACTTTCCATGTTCCTAGGAAATTAATTGGGTTTCTTGTTTCTTTTTTTGTTTGTTTTTAGTATGTGTTTCAGCAATGAATAAATGGTTTTGTGCATTTCTTCCGTTCAGACTAGGCAAAAAACAGTTAATCAATGCAATGTCTGAACCATATTCCACGAAAATAGCCATCTGCAGGTTGTATGAATGTTTCAACCTTTCTGAGCCTCAGGCACCTTCTTATACAACCCATTTTCATTACACTCTAAAATGCAGTGATGCCATCCCACAGCTCTGCGAGGATGTCACACACTGCTTGTGGTTTAAATGTTAAATACCTCTCCCCAGCTCCTCTCAGTTAGAGATGCACCCACAAACCAGAGCCCTCCTGCACTGTGCAAATGGGTGATGGCTTTGTTGGAGAATAGTAGGAGCAAGGAGAGCATCATGAGGCAAAAATACAAGCAGCTTTCGTGATGGGTAGTTTTGGATGCTTGTTTACTCATATCAGGTATTATCACCATATAATGGATGTTTGCTTGTTGGGGTTTTCTGGGCTGATTTCAGTGATATAGGATCAGTACAGCAGATTTATCAAAGTGTGAGTTGATCTGCATTTGGTATCTTCCATAAACACTTGTGAGAACTGCGAGGGGTGGACAAAATCGTTATGCATCTCTTTGCTTGTCAGTGTTTACCTATTGTTAATGGTAAACACATTGCAGTCTTGCTTTTTGGGATTCATCTCACATGCATCTAAATATCTGCAAAGCAGACCTCTGCTCCAAGACAGACACCTGGGTCCTTTCCAACAGCAAATGGCAAGAACACATGTTGCTACAGGGTGAAATATCTCTCCTGGGCCAGGATGAATTGCCAAGTGCAGGTTGCTGTTTATTATTTCCATTGGCTACAGGAGAAGCGTGGACAAATAGCTGAAGCCAGCTAATTTTTCGATAGCTAAAATAAGGTGAGACAAATCTGCCCTTTGCAGCTCTATCTGTTGTGGTTTGCTTTTAAAAGACCTGCTCGGTTTTACAAAACATAAGCAAGGGTCTTGCTTTCAGCACAAAGCCAGGAAGACTAAAGCAACTTCCTTCCCCTACTGGCACACTGTTATTCTTCCCCAGCCATCTACTGCTGGCTTTTTAACCTCTTTCCTGCAAAGCACCTGGTGGTGGGCACTCTGAGGTAGCTCCTGGATTGAAATGAACCTTCACATGTGTTCAAGATGCAAATTCAGGAATTCTGATTGAAAAGAACACCAAATCATGCACA